GAAATTGTTCGAATTTAGTAAATTAATTTATCAGATTAACTAAAATTATATTAAATACTTACTAAATGTCTTGCAGTCAATTTTTTTACAGCATTTTCTTCGATTGTTAATTTGCCGTAATCTGGGTTGAGTATAGTTTGAACTACCACAATTGCATAAGCTACATTTACTTTGGAAGCATCTTCATCAGGCCAAACTTTCTTTAATATTCTTGCAATTGTTTAAAAAAATCTCTCCGGTTCACACCCAGAACACTATAATTATCATAATTACTATACAAAACTCGGCATATTTTATTCAAAACCTGTCAAAAAGGGCAACAGCCTTTTCTTTAAGTAAAAGAAAATTCTGCCCTATAACTATGAATGACTCTGCAAATAAAAAAGTTAAACTCAACAGCAATGAAGACAAAGAAAAAGTCTTTAACATGCTACCACTTAAGACAAAATGGAAAAACAACAAATTCATTCACAAGACAGTAAACTAGCAAATAACAGCTCAAGTGAAAATGTAAGCTGGGCAGACATAAGCGAAACTAATGCAGCCAAAGAGTGTAATGTACGTGTTTTAGAATCAACTGATGTAAACAAACAAACTGATAACCTGCATGTGAGTGCAAAAACACATGATTCAATAGAATCAAAAATCCCGGACCTGCAATCAGACCCAGTCTAACCCAACCCAAACATAACCAAGCCGAGACCAAACAATGGTCTGACTTGTTCTCTAAATTAAAAGGAGGAAGAGCCACCTTCTCAAACACAGCCTCTAGACAGAGAATTCATTCCAAGAATGAGAATGCACTCATCTTCAACATCCAGGATTTGTCTAACATTTTCTTCAACAACATCATTTTAGCCATTGCAACTAAACTAGAGAACGATTTAACTGCAGCTAAAATGCATCTGCAAAGAGGCAAACGTACCTATCTAGAAGCAGTCTTCGCGAATAGAGACAAACAAAAACTGTATGCAACAGAAAGGATACACATTTTCAAACAAACTCTATTTGGCTACATTTTAGTAAATCTCAAACGCACCTTTCTTTCAGTTAAACTGAGAAACATGCCTATGGGTCAGAAAGAGTACATCAATGAACTGGTTCAATTTGCCTTTTAGGATAGCCTACACCTTAAACATTTTAATCATGATTAAAATCCCACATTAAATGTTAATAAAACAAAGGCCCAAAAAACTTTAATGCTTTTAAAATCTTACAAAATAGATATAATATTATTACAGGAAACGAACCTTAAACAAGGAACTTTCTAACACAGCAATGGGGATCTGGATCTCTAAGACAGCTATTCTAGCTGGAAAACAACACATTAAGTTTATAGAGACTGAAATTTCACATAACGATTGAGTAATCTCAACCAAATTTACGTTCAAACACTGCCTATATGTAGTAACAAATATATACGCTCCACCAAATCCAGATGATAGATTCCAGTTCCTCAATAACTGGTCCTCTATTAGAAGAGATAATGCCCTTAAGTATTATAGCAGGGGACTTCAATGTAAATTTAAACCCTGATATTAATTGGATTAGTCAAACATCATTACAACGAGACAATTCTAGAGAACTATTACAAGACCTCTTGGAGGATTTTGTGGATACAGCATACTTCTCTAGGAACAACCCTTTCCTCACGTTCTATCAAAACACACAAAATAACCAAAAGATGGCCACCTGTTTGGACTACATTTTAGTGGACTAAACTCGGTTCGGCAATTCCGATCATCTACTAGTGGAAAGCACAATCTCAAGCAAAGCAAAACATAGAGCTATGTCAAACTGGAAGTTTGACAGGAAGTGCTGGGCTATTCCAGAACTCAAAGAAAAGCTTACCAGGGAAATTGAAACCATCCACACTATCCAAGAGTGGGACCTGCACAAATGTGCAATACAATCGATAATTAGAGCTTTCAAATCTGATTTGCCACCAGAGAAGAATTTACAAAGGTTACATAAAAAACTAATTGACCTCAATAATAAAATAGCAAGAAACCCAGAGCAATCCAACTTCAATCTCCTTGCAGAGCACACTAAAACACAGATACAAGAAGAGCTGGTATCTCTCTCAAAGAAATGGCAAATAAGGTCAAATGCCAAGTGGATTGAGGAAGGGGAAAAATCCACAAGATACTTCTTCTCTCTTTATAAAGCTAAACATGCTACTTCTTGCAGTTCAGAAATACGGAATCCTACAAATCCGGACCAAGAAGACCCTCTTGAAATACTTACTTATATTAGAGAAACATATCTCTTTTTTTTTATTATTATATAATGTCATAGTAGAAACTTTATTACAGTCAGTCCAAAGATTGAAAGTTATCTTATAGT